CAAATTCTATAGCAAGGGAGATCTCAGTGCTGCACAGACTACACACTTGGGGGTCCCTGTCCCGGACCTCACCCTAACTCAGATTGGCGGATGACAGATTCTCAGATCTCAGGAAGGCACCAAGCTCACACTCACTGTTTATCCCAAAGAACACAGTCCACGAGCAGCCAGAGGGAAGAGATGTGCAGGGAAGGCTGTGGGAGGGGCATATGGAGTTTCTCTCTGGCCTGTTATCTTCTCAGAACCTTGATGCACTCACCAGCCTATGGGCTTTCTGAACCTCCTTTTGTGGTCGTGGTGGGGGCGGGGGAGTTTATGGAGGCCTCACTCCAGGGTGTGATTGAGTCCATCCTTGGTCATGATGACCAACTCAATCTCCTTCCTCTCTCTGCTCCCCGAGGTTGGGGGTGGAGCAGATAGTTTTAGCCCTTTAATCTTGTGGCTGGATTTCCTGGCAGATTGTCCCTGTCCTGAAGCTGTCCAGGGTCCCCACCACCAACCATCTCATTATTATACAAAGATACACTCTGCAGCTCAGGAGAGTCCAAGGCTCTTAGGAGCTGAGTCAGGAACCGGGGACAAAAATCTAGATCCTTGTTTTCTGTTATGTCACAGAAATGAGAGAGTATCCTAAGATGCCCGCCCATGTGGGAACTGCACAACAGTTCCCTCTTCATACAGGGAGAACCAGGACCTGGCCCCAGGCATCAAGATGACCTCTCACTTTGTGGCAGGGCAAAGTCCTCCATTACAGGATGGACAACATGGAAGAGAAGGTCCCATCTTCCCAGGCTCTTCAGGTTTGGGTTCAAAGCTCCATTCTTCATACGTGGTAAACACAGTGATCAGATCCGCAAAGACAAAGACTGAGGGAGGCGAACCACACAAGTTCTCTAGTTATAATTTTTACTTCCTCAGGATGTGAAAGGCTATGTAAAAGTCTCTCAGGGACACCCAGACTAAATTTGGCTGCAAACTTTGCCTCCCCTTCCCTTATCTAGTTTTCTTCAACCAATAAATATTTATTAGGCACCAGCCGTCCACCACCCCCTCATGACACCAGGTTCGGGGATAAGCATCCAACAGGGCAGACCTCATGTGGTTATCTCAGGAAGGAAGGAATGTAGAATGTCCATTGTGGGAATGCACAATGTTGCTCGCCAATGGTGGGTGACTCAGGGTTTTCATTTCTCTGGTCTTTTGCGTATTTAAGAAGAAAGGCTGAACCACTTGGACTGATTAGGAAGTATGCACTCTTGGTTTTCTGACATTTACTCCAGCATCAAGAAGGGACCCAACTGGATTATGAATTCTATTTACAAAGCCAACAAAAAGCGATACTATCAAACCGCTGTTCAACCCTTGACCGAAGTCTACTCTTTGAACTCTTCAGTTACATGAGTCAATCACTGTCTTTGCTATTTGTTTAAATTGGCTTATCTGCTTTCTCTCTCTCTCTCTCTCTCTCTCTCTCTCTCTCTCTCTCTGTCTATGCATCTGTGTCTGTATGTCTCTGTGTATGTGTCTCTCTGTGTGTCTCTCTCTGTGTGTCTCTCTCTGTTTGTATCTCTGTGTGTTTGGGGGTGTATCTGTGTGTGTCTCTGTCTTTGTGTCTGTATATATGTGTGTGTGTTATCTCAGTGTATGTGTGTGTGTGTGTGTGTGTGTGTGTGTGTGTGTGTGTGTGTGTGTGTGTGTGTGTGGTGCTGTTATTTAGAACCATTCTCCTTGTCTTTTTGAGAAAGGGATCTGGGGCTCATCAGGACCTGGTCTTACTGATTAGGCTAAACTGGCTGCCCAGCAAGCTCTGGGAGTCCCTTGTCCCTAATCTGCCAGCACTGGGATTGCAAGCATGTGCCGCCATGCTCAGATGCTGGGGTTCTGGGGTCCCAAGTTCCCCTGCTACAAGGCAATCACCGGTTGAACTCCCTCCCCAGTCACTGAGGACAGGTAAACTGACTCATTAGAAGGACAGTAGATGGAAAGAGCAATTTAGGGGCAGCAAACAAACTGCCAACAGACCCAAGGAGGAGAGGTCATGGGAGGCCCACGTGTGACTGGAGGGTGGAGAGGGAGGGACGGAGAGATTGTGACCCATGCTGCTAGCCATCTTGTCCCGGCCAGGGGGCCAGGGGGACTTTATTCAGGGGAGTAATACCCAGTTTTGTTGTTTGAGTGGCAAGAGGGTGGGGCTGGGAGTTTAGAGGTGGACAAGGCTGTGCTGGGAAATCAAAGGCTCTTCAATGTTTGGTCTCGGGCTCTCCTCACATGAAGAAAGTTATTGAGGACTCCAAAGAACCTTTGTTTCTGTGGACTGTATCCACTGAGATTTGAAAAATTAGACAATAAAACAAATTTTAGAACATGATCTAATTCACTTAAAATAATATTAGATGATCCATTAGTATAAAAGATGGAGCTGTTTGGCGTTTTTGTAAAACTTTAAAGTCTAGCCAGATGGTGGCCTCTGCTTCCTGCTGTGAGTGGCTTTCAGTCTATGAAGACATCCAGCCCTACCCAGGCAGGCAACTGGAACAAAGAGGTGTTACCTGAGTTGTTAGGGTCTGGAATCTTCGCGTGCCACAGTGGAAAGCAGAGAGAGGAAGCATACTCAGAGTGGCTATGTACTCCGGATGGCTACACTGGGAAGGGGAGTAAATATGGAGAGGTCTTGTGGACCCCAAGTCCATCCTCAGGGCCCTGACAGGACGTGTAGACGTGTAGGTTTGAATAGAGGGGAAGAGTTATGGGTAACTAGTGCCCCCTAGTTAAGTGTGGTCCAGCCCATCGCTACCCACACAATCATAGTTCTGGTCTCTCTTGCAGGCCCCTTCATGGGAGACAGACTCCCCCAGCAGTTGGCAGGGTGGAGAGGGGGTGCTGTAAGATTGTGACCCATGCCACCAGCCTTCTTGTTCAGGGCAGTGGTACTTTATTCAGGGGAGTTTTCAGCCTTTTTGCTTCCCTCAGTCCAAGAGTCAGGGGAAATTCCAACTCCTAAGGAACCATTGTGTCATTGACCTGCTAATCAAAGGCAGGGACGCAAGTGTCCCTCATCAATTTTGTCTGCTTCCAGAACCATGGCAGAGGGATGTGTTCTTAGTCTTCTCAGGAAATTAGTAGTTTTTTATGCCACCCCACATTGGGCAGGCAGTAGTTTCCTCAAGATTAGCTCAAAGAGGAATCTGAAAGCATGTTAACAAACTTACACTTTGTTTCATTAAAATCCATGTCTCTTCCATACTGTATGACATGATTTTAATCATTTAGACACCTTGAAAGTGTCTGTCTTGGAGATCCCCTGGGGTCTTTGGACCGCCTCTTTAGCTGTCCTAAATCAAAGAAGCATGGCAGGAACCCGGAAGAGGGAACAAAAGTGGCCTATTTTAGTCACTTGGATGCTGTACTCTCTCAGGAACATGATGGGAGGAATGGGAGATAGCCTCTGCGGGGCACTGCAGGCGGTGTCAATGTGGATGAATCCAACCACCAAAATGCATCTCAGGTGGCGGCCTCCAAGGGTTTGTGGGAAGATTGTTTCTGAAAAAACAAAACAAAGCAAAACAAAAAACAGGATAAGAAAAGGAATACCTTAAGCTGATTAGAGAAAAACCACCTTCAAAGGGAAAGGAAAGGCTTGGAGCAGGAAAAGACAACCCCAACAACATGTAGTAAGCACAGGCACATTTTCTTGTCAAGGAACACAGCACCGAGAACATGTCACAAGATTACAGTGCCACAACAACAGTACAAAAGAAACCTCTCTCTCTCTCTCTCTCTCTCTCTCTCTCTCTCTCTCTCTCTCTCTCTCTCTCTCTCTCTCTCTCTCTCTGTGTGTGTGTGTGTGTGTGTGTGTTCTCTCTCTCTCTCTCTCTCTCTCTCTCTCTCTCTCTCTCTCTCTCTCGTGTGTGTGTGTGTGTGTGTGTGTGTGTGTGTGTAGAACCTGAGTGCAAGGGCGAGGCTGAGCTGCCCAGCTGTGAATGAACCCGTGAACCCATGGGGCTTCTCAAGGGCTGGGTACAGGACTGAAGACCAAAATCACCTAGGAAGTTCCCTTGCCGTTTCTGGGAACCAAGCTGAATCATATGTTCCACCTGGAGCCGAGACTTGCTATGACAAGGCCTGGATGAAGTGCTCTGCTTTGGACCTGATCTGCTAATAACTCCACCAGACAGTTCTGGAGACGAGGGGTGCGTTTTCAGACAGCATGCCGTGGGAGATGTGACAGGAGGAAGCGGCCCCAGACAGCGGCCTTCCTTCCAAGGCTGACACCTTCCCCAGCGTTGACTCTTGACCAGGGGCTTAGCTCTGTTTCTCTGTCGGGAAACTGCCTGTGTTCACAAGAGTCTTTTAGGAGTCTTTTTACCTGCGGTGGACCCTGTATTCCCCCAGGACTGCTTTCACCCTGGTCTTAGCTCAGCACCTCCACTTTTCACGTTTTAATTCAGGTAGTTTATTTGAAAGTGGTTTTGGCATCTCTGTGTGTATGTGTGTGTTTATCAGGTGATGACTTGCAGGGGTTGGTTCTTGCCTTTCACCATGTGGGCTCCTGGACTAAACTTGGGCTTGATGGCAAGCATCTTTACCTGCTGGGGTGGTGTGGATAAGAAATGTCCCTACAAATTGGTGTACTTGAACACTTGGTCCCCAGTTGGTGGCACTGTTTGGGGACAGACTTGCTATACTTACTGCATGTGGTCCCTTCCCCACCCTGACCCTTCTGCTTTGCAGTACATTCCCTGCTATAACAGACTCTGGGGCTGCAGCTAAAAGAAAAGTCATGGTGTTTTATGACAGCTACAGGAAAATAATAATACACCTGATGAGCCATCTTGCCATCCTTAATTTGTTTCTTCATCATGTATGTGTGTGTACACATGCACACACTTGTGCTGTGTGTGTCCCTGTGTTTGTGTGTGCTCGCCTGTGTACATGCGTGTAGTAACCAGAAGGGGATCGCAGATGTACTCCTTGATTTCTTCTTCCCCTCATTCTTTCAGGCAGGGTCTCTCCCTGAACCTGGAGTTTACCAAGTCAGCAAGATTGGCTGGGCAGCAAACCTCAGGGATCCACCTGTCTCAGCTCCCAATTGCCGAGGTTTCAGGCACATGCCACTGTGCCCAGCTTTTTATTTGGGTACTGGGGACCTGAGTTCAGGTCCTCATGCTTGCATGACTCTGCTAACGGAATCATCTCCCAACCCATCTTCATTTTCTTGTGACAAAACGGCCTGAGATGTGAACAGGAAGGAGACCCAACCGACTTCAGAGTAAGGTTTTGTTAAAACACTCCCATCTTTTTGTTTCGAATGTCACAAGCTCCCGTCTTTCCCAATGAAAATCCGGCACCTAACCAAAATCCCTGAAACACAGGAAGGCTTCCAAGTGCAAGACTGAGCTGTGCCTGAGTGAGATGTGGTGGTCAGATCCCAGCCTCACCCAGCTGTTCCAACCTCAGGTCAGTATTTTTGGGGATTGTGTGGGGATTTTCACTCTGAAGATAGGATACTAATATCACTTGTATACAGGGTTATGATTTATGTGCTTTTCTATGTTTTCTATTATGCTACCATAAAAGAGGGCAATATTTTAAATGCTAGGACAGTAAAGATAGGACTCATACACACGTAGGATTTATCTGAATAAATTTTTAGTACTACACTGCAAGTTATGCCCCAGAGAAACCATCAGAAAGTTCAGTGGAGTCAGTGTATACATTGTATCCAAGGACAAAAGTCACACATTACTGTTGTTTTCTTGTCCAGTCAGGTCCCATCGCCCTTCAACCCTAATTAAGCATACAGACGCTATATTAATTATTAAACTGTTGGCCAATGGCTGGGGCTTCTTATTGGCTAGCTCTGCCTTAATTATTAACCCATTTCTATAAATCTGTATTTTCACGTGGTCTTGGCTTACTGGAGAATGCTCAGACCTGTATCCTTTGCCGGCTACATGACAACTCTCTCTGGCCAGCTCCCTCTGCCTACCTTTCCCAGAATTCTCCTGGTCAAGTAGCCCCACCTATGCTCTGAGTGGCCATTGGCCAAACAGTGTTTTATTCATCAACCAATAAGAAAAACATATGTACAGAAGGACATCCCCCATCAGTCACAGGGCTAGAGGGATGTTCAGAGGTTCAGAGCACTTGCTGCTCTTACAGAGGGCCTGAGTTTGGATCCCAGCACCCACGTTAGATGGCTCAACACTGCCTAGAACTCCAACTCCAGGGAATAAAATACCCCCTTCTAGCCTCCAGTGTATGCACACATACATAAAGACACACACACACACACACACACACACACACACACAAACACATTCATACGTAAATACATCTTTTCAAAGTAAAACAAAATTTACAACCAATGTTCTCCTTATTCTTACTGCCATTCACTTGTGATTTGTGACCCAGAGCAGCCTCGTTCTGCAGAACAAAGCAAGGGCTCCCACAGGGCTATGGCAGACCAGCGGGTCTGTAAGATGCGAACAGGAAACAGCAGAAGAGGACAAAAGTCTGATTGGTTGGCACTGGGTTACAGTATTATTATTTTTGTTGCTGTTTTATGTTTTTGTCAAGGGCATAAGCAGTTGTCTTCCTTTGGCTTCAGTCACCTAGAATCCTCTGTTCACTGCCTGGGGTCTGTCAGCTTTCTCACAGTTTCAGTGTGACAGGGTGGCACTCAGTGCAAGTGCCCCAAGTTGGCCTGGGCTGCTTCATCGCTCAAGCCAAACACAGGCCTTCCGGTACTTTAACAGCCGCCTGTCAGTTTCTGGGAAAAATTTCTTTCAAAAACTACATTGTGTTTTTGTAGGCTCTGTGATACTTCCATTGAGACTAAAATGAACTTTGGAGATCCCCCATGGAATCTTGGAAGAGTTGAGAGGATTGATTAGGAATTTCCACTTCTGGCCCTACCCTTTAATCAGCCTCTCCTGGCATAAGGAAGAGGTAACAGAGCTTCATGGGAGAGAGAGAAAAGGCCAGTACAGGGCTGGGGAGATGGCTTAGTCAGTAAAGTGGTTGCCTCGCAAACCTGAGGACCTGAGAGGAACCTCCATAACTCACACTAAAAATAAATAAAGTAAAAACAAAATGGATTTGTAATTCCAGAACTGGGGTGATAGAGATGGCCAGCTTATTGGGGCTCCCAGCTAGTCTGGACTTCTTGATAAGCTCCAGGCCAGTGAGAAACACTGACTCAAAAAACAAGATAGACGCTACTGAAGAACAACACCTGAGGCTTCCTCTGATTTTCACACACCTATATGAGTACACGTATACACACACACACACACACACAGAGGAAACAGCCATTGAATAGAAGCCTAAAGCCAGAGACTACGACTTGCTTTCATTTCTCTACACTAGATTGCCACAAAGCAGAAAGCTCAACACTGACTGCATTCACACTCTGCTGGGCAATGGAGGTGTTAGAGAACCAGCACACAGGGTGTGGCTGGGGTGCTCAAACAACCCCTTGCCTTTGTATTTGTTGGTGGTGGTAGCGGCGTTACTGGGATTTGAACCTACACCCTTTGCATTCTGCCAAACTAGGAAAGACAGCAGGGTTTAGCTGGATACTCCTGACTTGGGGTCTACCCTAAGGAAACAGTGAAGGTTCTTGATGAGTCTATAACTTCTGAAGGGTCAACTGGGAGTGAACCTCACTTACATGGCTTTTGAGGCCTCAGGTCTTGGATGACATTATCTGGATACATCAGCTCATTGTTACACAAGGAAGGCCCCTGGTTTATTAGAAGCAAGTCACTAGGTATGTCTCTACCGAGAGGTGAAGAATCACACCTGGGTCCCAGGGTCCCCAGACTTTTGGGACCACTGTGAAAGCTGCCTGCGAGAGATCCTGAGCGTGTGAAGCCGAGCACTCTTAAAATCCTCAGTAGCTTCATCGAACGTATCCAAATGCCCAGCCACTGCTGACACCTGCTTGTGCTTTGAGACACTTTGGTTCTGGTTATTTTAGAAGAAGAAAATGGCCTCTGTCAAGGCTCATCTTTCCTCTGTCCCAGATGGCACCTTTAAAAAGTTAAAACTTGGGGCTGGAGAGATGGCTCAGGGATTAAGAGCCCTGACTGCTCTTGCAGAGGACCCAGGTGCAGTTCCCAGCACCCACATGGTGGCTCACAACTGTCTGTAGCTCCAGTTCTAGGGAATCCAGTGCCTCTGTAGAAATCATGAACACACAGTGCACAGATACAGGAAAAACACTCACGTAAGTAAATAAATAAATATTAATACAGATTCAAAACGATAATAAATTCGTGTATAAAGCCTGCGTTGGAATGGGGAAAGGCTGCCAACCTAACACACAAACCAGAAATTAATCCCTGAGTATTTTGCAGTTGGTGCAGTAACTGAGTAGATAGATGTTAATGGAAGAGGCATGAGGGGAGCATCCATTACCAGTGCTGCCCCTGCTACTTGTGTTCCTCGTGAGCAGTCTGTGCAGTAAACACTCTTTCTTCACATCTGAAGAAGCAGACAGATCCAAAGGACCAGGCCTGGAGGCCCTCTCTCAACACCAATGCCGCCATGGCCTGCCTAAGTAGACACAAGCATCAGGTACTGCTTGGAACCTGCACTCAGCACAGACTTGAAGAAATTATCTGATGCTCACAATAGCCTCTCTGACTTAAGTCTCACTCTGACATTTTATAAAAAAGGTGGGAACAATTTTTTGAAAGTTTTTAAATTTTGGTTTTAGTGTGTGGAGATTTCATTAATTTGACAACAAAGGGGTTTTCTGTTATCATTATTGTTTATTCATCTTAGAACTTTCATTCAGTGGCTGATGGAAGCAGAGGCAGATGCCCACAGCTAAACACTGAGCTGACCTCCTGGAACCCAGTGACAGAGATGGAGGAGTGATGAGCAAGGGTGTCAAGACTGTGCTGGTGAAACCCACAAAGACAGCTGACCGGACAAGGAGGGGAAAGCTCTTGAACCCCAGACTGATGGCTGAGAGGCCAACAGGAGACTGATCCAGACTCCATGAATGTAGTGTCAGTGAGGAGGCCTCAGAAATCTCTGCAGCCTTGGGTAGTAGATCAGTACAATGTACTGACATACAAATGAACTTTGGGAGCCCATTACACATGGAGGGATGCTCTCTCAGCCTGGACACATGGGGAAGGGCCTAGGTCCTGCCCTGGATGAAATGACAGCCTCACCCTCCCTGGAGAATGATGTGGGGATTGGGAGGGGGTCTGAGGGAGTACTGGTGGAGGGACAAGGGAGGAGGGGTGGGAGAGGGAGCTGGGACTGACATGTGAAGCATGCATGCATGTTTCTAAGACATAATTTATTTTAATAAAAATTAAAAACAAGAAAAGAACAATTTTTAAAAATTAAACATTCTTTGGATATGAGATTATAGTTTGGATAGCATATTTTCAGAAAGTTCTTAGACTAGACATTGGGAAAGGTCTGTGTTAGAAGGCTTTACCATTCATGCATGGTCTGTCCAGGGGTGGTTTTTAACTCTTGCTTGTCTAGTTCCCTTGATTCATCCTCCAGCGACTGTGATTTCACTATGGGGATCAAGTGAGAGGATTTCCCATCAAGGCAGAGATGAAGATGCAGCCAACCGGGGCTCCACTTCAAGAACTCTTGCACAGCTGGGTATAGTTTGCCTACAATCTAAGGGGAGCCTGGTGCTGGGCAGCATCCACAGGGGAAGCAGCTGTTTTCTGGGGGCTCCCAAGATGGGATGCCACACTGGGGTGGGAACTTGGGACATGTGGATGTCCCTGTTGTGAGCGTCAAGTCTCTATGATTGGGAAGTGACTTCCTTCCCAGTCTTTCTGTGGAAGAGACTGGCTTGAAGGTGAGCTCACTGTGGTGTGGGTGTGGGCAGACATCGAGTGGAATGGAGGAGGTTCCTGTGCAAGTATTAGCTTGTGCACACCTTAAAAGGGAAGGCTGTCTGTGAAAGATCTGTGTCTCTGATAACCGTGCCCCGTCATTCTAGAAACCACTTTTGAATATGCGGTCAGATCATTGGGACTTCCCAGCATCTCCAGCCGTACAACCAACCCCTCATAGTGAAGCTTAGTCACTGTCACTCCAGGGAGTCCATTTCCCCCCATCCCACGCTGTTTCCAGGTCCCACAAATTCCAAACATCATTTCTCCCACTTCCTCTTTCCCCCCTCTCTCCTTCCCTTGTTTCCTCTTACTTCTCTTCTTTGTGTCCTTCAAATGTGCCAGACTGGCTGCAGCCCAGGATGAGTGTGAGCTTCTGATCCACCTACGCCACCTCCAGACTGTTGGGATTACAGGCGTGTGCTCACCACACCCAGGTTATGCAGGCTCGAGGATCCCATTCAGGGTTTCGCTTGACAGACTCGCCTCCAGCCTCTTTCTTTCTTCTTTTTGAGTCGCTAACTTGATCTGTGTCTGAGGCTTGTCTTGATCTTGCTCTGGAGTCCACCCTGACCTCAAACTTACAGTCCTCTTGTCTCTACCTCTCCTGAGTGCTGAGATTACAGGTGGGTGTTGCCATAAGTGCCCCAAATGGCTTTCTAAGTCTATTAATTTTGATGCATGGGTTACAGTTGCACTGGGGTCCCATGTGATGCTTCAGTTCACATTCAT